AGACAGGAGGAGCATGCCGTGGAAAGGTCGCCGAACAGACTTTCCTAGTATAGGACAGGAGCCAGACGTGGGAAAGGCTCATTGAATTCGGAACTTTCACGACAGAAGGACCAAACCGTGGAAAACGTGAGGCTAAGCAGAACATTCACGTTTCACTGAGTGCGTGTTATGCGTGGTGACAGTCAATTCGACTGAAGCCCAAGCTGACATTTGAGGGTGTAAGTACCGTCCACGATGTACTACTCTCATGATGAGCCGCAGTAGAGTTAAACCGTCTTTCCTGTGACCTCCGAAAGAGTTCCATCTTTCTCTTCAATTGCTCCAAACAGCCCCTGGAAGCGTACCGCACACGTCGGCGTGTTGTATTGCGTTGATAACCAGTGGTTCGTCAATTCCGTCCGCAAACCGACCTATGAAGACGCGCGTTCCTCCTTGAAGTGCCCCACACTTCGCCGCGAAGAACCGCTCCCACTGGAAATGACCTGGTGTGGCGACCACTTGTAACTCAGTATTCCCTTACCTTCACCTGCCAGCGATGTCGCGCAGCCAGAAAATAGGCGAATGTGAACACCGTGGACTGCAGGAAAATTGCAGGTCTCGAAAAGGATCCTTCGGCATGAACGTTAGACCTCTGGCTCGTTTCGATGCATGTGCGCGCCGGCTCGGCCCAAAATAAGCCAAATTGACGAATTTCAGCAGATTTGTGAAAACAGTGTTGGCGCCAAACGGCGCCAAAAGGCGCCAGCACTAAAAAACGGTGTCCGTTTTCGTACGGACCCCCAACCCAAATGACGAATTCAGTCAGATTCGGAAAAAGCAGCGCCAAATTGGCGCCAAACGACACCGAGCATCAAAAGAATTCAATATTGGATTAGGGCCATCGACACACCGCGTAACATTTTTACGACAAAAATGAACTTTGAGATTTTGGGTAGTAATAGTGGCCCAGTCCGGCAATAGGCAGGCTGAAAACGGGAAAAACCAAATTCCAACTGGGGAAGTAAGCAATCATCGATAGCATTTTTCACTGGAAGCCTACACGGGGCAATTCCAGGTCTCGCGGTCATCGGAACATGCAAAAAATATGAACATTCCACAAAGGCAGACGAGGAGCATGTTTGGGCCACACGCACGGAAAAACGCTTACTGCGACGCCGAGTATCCACATAATCCTACAGACAAGTGCCCATCATCCACGTACCGAGAATTCCTTCAACTACCTCACCAGCTTTCTACAAAACATTCTCTCAAAAGGGACTTGTCACGTAATAGGGGGCAGAGGAGGGGTGATGTTTGGGATCACACCACGGAAGAAACGCTCACCTGCGACCAAGGTTTCCATATACTGCTTACAGACAATCGACCGTAGTCTAGGACAGTGGAGGAAATTGTTCGCTATCTTCACAGCTTTTTTCAAAACATGTCCTCCGAAGATGGAAAATGTCACATGATAGGCCCACTGTGCCTGCCGAGAACTGTTCAAAGATTCCACCTGATATACAGAGGATGGGATATTGAGAGCAGAGCAGAGGGAACACGTAAAGCTAGTAAGCGCTTGAAAACGAAATGAAGATCTAAGAATTCGGAAAATAACATTCATCTGACCTCACAGTGTAGTGGATGAGATTGAGTACGTGGCGCATTCCGGGGTAAGTTTTGAGGCCCTTCTTTGTGTGTGGCGGTTAGCCCACATAAGCGGGATTATATACACATAACATGCGAGCAACTACTTTTTGAGATGAAAATCGAGTGCATGGCGCATTCCGAAATCAAGCTTTCTGAAAATATTTTAGCACCATCTTGTAGCGCTCGAAGAGCTGAGTTCAACGGTGTTTTCCGTTTCTGGAATACTTCACTCTGACCCGAGTTATAACGAATTCACGAAATTAACGAGGATTCGCGTTATTCGCGTGAATTTTCGATTTCAAACGGCGAGTACTGTAGGAACGGAATTCGCATGACCTTCGACACAGATGCATGTCTGCTCTGCAAAACTGGCACTGTTTGTCACGTATCAGCCATTGCAGGAAGCTTCCGAAAAACAGATCTGATAACGCAAACATGCTCCTCTATCCTTTCCGAAAGAAATATGTTCATCACTTGAGGAGTTGTCGCAGCATCCTAGTCAAAGTCATAGTTATAGTTGAACGATGTGTTTGTATTTCTGATATAAGATCATCACAGAGGAAGAGGCCCAAGTAAAAAGTGTCGTTGTAATACCTACCTTCTCTTCAAGAAACGAGAAGAGCGTCGGGTGGAAACCACATACCACAAATGACGACGGCCTCCAAGTAAGTCTGGTTAGTAGTGGTTAATAGCGGTTGCTGATTTTTGGTAAATGATAAACAGATTTTATGGAGGCCGTCGTCACTAGTAGTGTATGGCCTGCACCCGACGCTCTTCTCGTTCTTTAAAAGGGAGGGTATGACCTCTCGATTGAAATTCGCTAGGCCTGTCTCGCTCCATCATTGGGCGCGCAGAACACCTACATACTCTTCTTTTCAAAAAACGAGAAAAGCGTTGGGTGTAGGCCATACACCGCAAGTGACGACGGCCTCCAAGTAAATCTGTCAGTAGTGGGTCTTAGTGATAGCTGATTTTTGGTAAATGCTACATGCAATTAGTGACAAGTGATAGAATATAACTGCAGCGAACTAAATATTTCGTTGGCAGAAAACCTTAACGTTTTGTGAAGGTCGCTTGTGGTGTATGGTCTGCACTCGACGCTCTTCTCATTTTTTAACACGTTGACGACAACGCGAGTTTTGGCTTTTTTGGCCACGTGGGACCGGGGCGATTTTGCGGGCGCGGCCGCCTCAGGTCGTACAAGCAGATTTCCAGTGTTAAGTACATAAATAACGATCAATACAAAACCAGATCAGTAAAGTGTAATGAGCACAACCTATCCAGGGGTATAGTAGTGAAATTTCGATCGAAAGACATGGAATAACAATGAAAGAGCGAAATTGCAGAACTAGCTGCAATGGACCTCAAAAGCAATTTCACGTTGATTATTTCAATCAAAACACACACATTTTCATCTCTAAGGTCCCGTTGCTATTTTCACTACTATTTAAATCTTCACATTCATAAAAAGAAAAAGTACATGAAAATATTAGGTTGTCTCATAAGTCGTTCGCTTTTTTTAAACCAAAAAAATTTCACCTGAATCCTGATGCATTTACATCGTGTTATATACCTTTCGAAAAAGAATTATCTGCTCTACAAGATGTTATGTTTCCCTTTTACCTGTGTTCCACAGTTTTGAATTTTTAGGCCTGCGGAATGGGAGGTCCAGTCGATAAGAATTGACCAAACCGACAACTATCTCTAACTTTATCCCCTTGAGAGAAGTCAATAAATGATGTACCCTCTCCTTACACATGACCTCTTCTTAACATTCGACTATTAGGATCCCTAAGAAGTCGCGTCGCTCCTTTTCCAGACCTGGTTTTTCAACCAGAACTCGCAGTCGAGCACCATTAGCTGCTAGGGCAAAATTTTTTTATAGCCGAGACATTGAAAAACTAGTAGAATTAAAAGAACAAGTCATGACTAATTTAGGAATGTACGCCTGGTTGATTTTCTCAACTTCTCAGGAATAATTTTTTTCAAAGAAATGCGGTCGCTTTCGCGGATAAAGCACCTTATTCCGAAACACCTCAAATTCGAACTAATTCCCAACAAACATAAGAATAAAACAAATCAGGGATGAGAGCAGAAGAAGTGCTCCTGAAAGGAACACCACTTGGTATGAAACAATGGCGTTTACGAGGAACAATTTTAATTTGAAAAGTGCTATGGCTCATCGGTCAGCCAATTCGAAAAGAAACACGGGAAAATTTTTTGATAACCTAAGAGTGGAACATTTAGAAGAGGTCATGGGTAAGTAGAAGGTACATCACTGATTGATTTCTCCCCAGGGAAAATAAAACAGCTAGTTGTCGGTTTGGTCAATATTTGTCGGCTGGACCTCCCATTTGCAGACCTAAAATTTGAAAACCCTGGAACAGAGGTGGAAGAGGAACGGAGCATCTTGTAGAGCAGACGATCTCTTTCGAATGGTATCTAAAATGGTGTGAAAGGGATTTAAGAGAAATTTTTTTTTGAAAAAAAGCGACACTACTTATGAGACAACCTAATATATCCCCACGTTGTTGTTAATGTGTTAAAATGGGGTGTATGCCTTCACTGTAACACGGAGGGACTATTGTGCTCATTCTGTGCTTCCATATTTTCATTTTCCATTACTGTATAATCGAATACACAAAATGATTAATGAAAAAAAAACAGTGATTTTCAGATAAACCGCATTAACACTTCAATTTAATGAGCACACATTTGTCAGCGCGTTCCTCCTGTTATCACGTTCACCCTTTTTTGCACAAAACCCTGACCTCAATTTGCGACAATCCCGCCTCTCTTCAGAAAGGCAAACCCTGCTTATCGTGAATTTCGCGATATTCAGTTGACCTATCCTTCTTTCTTCCACATTATGATCTTGGTTACTTATGTATTGTATAATACATGACTGCACCTCTGTGCAGCCCTGTGTCGTGATAGCACCATTGACCTTGTGACCTGATGTGTGCATGTGTAAAATGGATTTTAAGGTTCAAAAGAGAGCGGGTTATTCTGGCGGTCTGCTATGGGAAGTAAGACCCATCGGGCGGTGTGTGAGTCGCAGACGGCCGTTAAAGGGCAGTTCTTTAGTGGTAGTAGTCTCAATGCGCAGTGGCTAGAATTATGAAGAAAAGGTACTGTGCCACCCGCGAGCAAAGAAAGTAAAAATCGGAACGGTCGTGTAAGCTTTGAAAAACGCCCATCTTTAGTTTAGCGCTTTGTACGAGCTTATGCCCAAAAAGTGCGTACATAGACGGAGACTCTCAAGAGGGACAGAGACTCTGATGACGAGGAGACGAAGTGGGATGGAGACGAGGCAGAAGCACATACTAGTGGGATACTCACCGAGGGAAGAATGATATACTGCTTTTCCAGGCATGGAATCAACAGAAAGGAATAGTCGGGGTCGTTCAGCAGAGCTTGACGGCCGGCGAATTAATGCCGTTTCTCCCATGCATCTTGGTGAATCGAAAATGCTGCAAAGTCTCTGGAAGGAGCACCAGCAGCAACAACAGGAGCAACAGCAGCTGCAGCAACAGGCCTCTTCTAATACTGTTTCAGCGGAGAATCGAGTTCACATGAAAGGTTTGCATGTTTTTCGGGTGGAATGTGCTGTGGCGCAGAAAAATGCACATTTCAGATATTGCTCTTTCTATATTATAGTCAAATTCTATTCTTCCACGGAATTCTATTATTTGGGATCATTCTGAAGGGGTTGGGTTACGAAGTTGAACGGGACATGGGGTTAGGGCAAAATACACGTCAGCTAAAGAGAATCTGCTCCCCCCTCTGCGAAGGTGTTTGTCCGTGTGGAAAGCAGAAACATCTTATCTGTCCTAGAACAGCCTAGGAACTGGAAAAAATGGCGAAATGTGTGAAGTGAGTGGCGTAGACCAATTTGCTAAACCCAGCCGTGGTGGTGAGGTCCTTTCCAAATGGCAGCGAGTGCCATAAAGCTTCACAGAAAGCGGCAATAATTAGTGGAGGTCCGATATATGGTGTGCAAAGCACACTCGAAGCGAGCGGAAGACCACTTCAAGTGTGCTTTGCAGTGGGCGGAGCGTGTCGTTGCAAGGGTGGAATTTACTGCTAGTCCTCATAGGTCAATTCCTCATAGTGGAGGCCGGGAATCGCGTAAAAAGTGGATAGAGGCTGGTGGAAGAGAAAGTACAATGCTATCTATGTGCCGGGTGTGCGATAAGGTGAGTGGGTTTGTTACGAAATTTATAATTCGTTTCCTTGAGAGTTCTGAATGGGAAAAAGTGGATCAGGGTAGGGAAAAAGGAAAGGTGGAACGTACTTGGGTTGGCGCGCACCAAAAATGGAGAACCAGAACTGGAACCCTAGCGTAAAGGAGATTAAAGCTTGAACTGACGAGGTAATTCCACTCAAATGTGATGTAAAGGCGGGAAGTGGACCGCCAGTGGAGAAAAAGGGGAAAAAAATTCGTGAAATACACAAGAAATGCGAGCATTTTGCTCCACGTTGTGGAGAAGGTCAAAAAGCCGGCAGGGAGACGAGAGATAATGTGAGCGCGGGGAGCGGTAGAGAAATCCGAGAAGAGAGAGCATAGAAGATCAGCATTGCGACGCAGACAAAATGTCGAGCGGTGGGCGGAGTGTGTCGCAACAGGTGGAGCGTGTCAGAGTATTTGGTCCCTAGCGTCTTAGTGACGCATTTGGATGCCGGAACTTGGCGAGTCGCCTGCAGTTGCGTCCCATGCACTTCTAGCAACTTTATGGGCTTATTAGGTGGGTATGACCCCGAACTTTGCCTTCAAAGGAGGAATTTACGATAAGAACGTAGGTCAAAGAAGGGGAAAATTAGATAGTCGGGAGACAGGCGGAATGCTGACCGACGCGCAATTGGCAGCGAAAGATTTGACCTCGGTGATCTAGCATGGCTCTTTCTTGGCGCGGTTGGCGGGGTACGCCCACCGACTATCTTATCACTCCCGCAGATCTATGTGGCGAGTGATTAAATAGTAGAGAGAGCGTCGTGTTGAAGAGAGGCTTAGCGATGAGAGTCGCATCAATGCGCAAATCAAAGGGCAAGGAAGGGGTCTCATTTCTCAGGTTTGGGGCCGTCTCAAATGGCTTTTTCTTTATCCCTGCTCCACTAATCACCTACCCTTATTTCCAGTGAGTTACCTTTCTGTCGTAATTTCTGCCTTTAATTCCTGTATGGCCCAATGGCAGTGCTAAGCGAAGAAAGCAGGCTCAACTGGCAGGGAGGATGAGGTTTAGTGCTTTTGGCTGCATTTACAATGCTTTTCACCTTACATAAAAGGTAAAGCTTTCAAAGCTGTGAGTTGATGATTGAGGTGATTTCTAAACCCGCTCCCTCCTATGAAATCAGGAACAAAATGTGTGTTATTTCGCAGACGTTTTGGAACAAGGAAATTGGCTGAATGTGGAACTGCTACAGGAGCGGAGTCCTATAAAAATTTCCTCTCCCCCAACTCATCTCGCCTTCCCCCCATCCTCCAACAAAGAAAGAAGGCAGTCATGGAGACCTCGAAACCAGCTCAAAGGCGTGGAACAGATTGAAGAATTAAGCAGCATTGGGTTTAAGTTGGAGCTAGCTTTTGATTTATTGAGGGCCATCATTAAGTGGATTTTGAGGTATGGAAAGGTCTATTCATGAGAGATACAGCAACACAGCGATTGATTAGAATGTTTCGTTAGCTTTTGAATCCCCTGACAAGTCACTTCTCCCAAACTGATCTTCATCGGTTTACGTAAAGAAAAAAGGTCGTCAAAACGGAACTCCTTGGAATCCTTTGTTTTCATCGAACCTTGCTCTGAGCGATCCTACCTGATATGCTCAAGTCGAAACCATAGGTATGTCGTACCAATTGAGAGTAATGTGGACTTTGAAAACGAGCTCAATATTTTTTGATGATTCTTATTCCGGTGATCCCCTACGAAACACAATCAAAATCGTAATTTACGAAAAAGCGAACATCTGTGATTAATTTTATTTTTTTATTTTTTGTCTTTCGAGCGTTTGTGTGCAAAAATGAAAAATGCAAGCGCGTCGAACTTATGTTCCAACCCAAACTTAATATTACTGCGAACTGATACAGATCAGGCCGGCATGAAATTCTTCAAAATCTCATCCACGCTTTTTGAAGAGCCGCTTTTAGCGTTCATTATGAACTATGTTGCTTTCTGCAGCCCCTCGCATCGATGTTTACCACATTAAGGTATTTAAGACGATAAAATCGGAGAAGTTACCTTGCTATTACCCGTAAAACAGAAAGTCGAGCAAAAGTGGTCGGCATTATTGCTGATCTGGAGGTTCAACTTGATTGACTTGATTCATGCTTTGTCAGTCTCTTCGAAAGTCATAGTAAATGTTAGTTTTTGAGATTGAAAACTCGGTCATCCATGAAGAATCTCGCGGGATTTCTTATTCTTATGTGCACCGTTCGGGGCCTGTGGAAGGGGGTCGTGACGTTTTTCAACCACACGTTTCCTCCAAACACACCCCGAGGGCATGTACTTTTTGATACTCGTGAGGTTGTACTCTAAATGGTATAGATAAGAGCACTGCTTATTGGTGCATAACTGCGTTCTTTGAAGTGCAATCTTGTCATCATATTCTTACCTCAACCTGTATTTAACTATTTTAGTGAAGCAGTAGGTACTCCAAGAGAAAGAACAAAAGGGTAAATTATCCGATGTTGATCTATCCTTTTTGTGTGCTCTGCTCCACGTCTATTCAGAATCGCGGTGGCATTTTGAATACGATTCGACCTATACACTGACTTGCGGGGTCGGCCTGTGCAAGCCCGTATTTTTTTGACCGACCCCAGAGGGATGGGCTTGATTGGCTTGGACGGCGTACGATCCAAAGTTTGATCGCCGCATCGTGTACATGGTAAGCAGCGCCTTTTACCACTACTACACTTCCGCCCCTCACTCCAAGATAATTGTATCGAAATGCTTTTGGAATGAATATCAGTAATATGAATGTGAGCGTAAAATAATATGAATCTTGTGGAAAAGTGAACTTTTTTCAATCTGTGCCTGGAAACAAGTTACAGAACAATACTATACCATTTCTATGATTTCAGGTGACGATGGTGACCGGAAACTACAGTTAATGCTAGAGAAATACCAAAGCCAAGTGAAATTGCAACAGCAGCGGGTACCACCATCATCACAAACCAAGACGCCCTCGAGAAATAATATCAACAAGATCGAAAGCCAGTCAGTACAACCTCGTTTGATTACAGTATGGCCCAATTTTGCAACATCTCTCGAAGCAGTAACCTCCAATTCTTATTCTTGAAATAAGTGCTCGAATTAATATGAAATTAATGCTTCTAGGCCTGTAGGTTTTTATTGTGGAGCTTTTTTTCTGAGCCTATCGTTTCGACAAGTAGGTTTTCCTTCGAAAGTTCAGAGTTCTCGAATGTTTTCAATATGCTTCATAGTCAGGAAGGTCTTTAAAGGCAAGAATCGGCTAAATTGATGGGGTGATCTCACTCAAATTGAAAGTAGGGATGGGAGGTGAACGCAGTGGAGGAGAAAGGAAAAAAAATCCTGAAGTACAGAGGCAATACGAGCATTTTGCTCTATGCTATGGAGAATTTTAAAAAAACACGCAGGAAGATACGAGATAATGTGAGTGCGGAGATGGTAGAGAAGTCTGAGAAGAGAGAGCGTAGCAGATCAACGTGACGACGCAGACAAGATATAACGGTGGGCGGACCATGTTAAGTTTGGTGGAGTCTGAGAAGTCCATGGCGCCTAGGGTCCTCGTGACGCGTTCGATGTAGAAAGGTGGCGCTACCTTTGCACTTGCGTACCCAGCACTTATACCCATGGTAAGGGTTTCTTAGATGGGTCTGAGCCCGAACTTTGCCTTCAAGGTCGTGCCCCGCTTCAATGTGTTCTATTGGGGATGCATGGAACACGAAGCCGTGGTTCATTTTTCCTCAGCGGCCCTCGGAATGCTCGAAAAAGGATTCAGAAAGGCAAGCACCGCACCTTTTGGACGCCAGTTCGTTTTTAAAAAAAAAACCTCTCATATGAGTTACTGGTGGTCCTGATGGTCGTATGACATCCATTGCTAGCCGCCGGCACCATTGTGCGACATCATGCAAGCGTCAATCGAAAATGCAAGGTTTTGTACGCTATGTGCAATCGAACCATGGACCAGTCGTTTGTCCCTCTTGATCTTCAAAAGGCAATCAGGAAAATGAAGCATAGCTCTTTGTTCCATGCACGAGTCTCTACATAATGCAAAAAAAAACGTTTTGAAAGAGCAGGGCTTGACCTGAAAAATCCCAGGTGAGTTGCTCCGCGCTCTTTTTCCCTGACTACTTGCGAGCTCATGCAGTAACCTTGAGACAAATCCTCACCTCATTAAATTCAAAGGTGCTGCGATCGCCTAGGAGTAGCTTATTGTGCTCGAAACAAACAATGTGGCAGCTGATCGGAGTGAGCAGAGTACGCGGAAGTGCTAGGGGTCCTTCAAAGGAAATTTGCTCTACATGGTCGAAGGTTGAAGAAGGGGAAACTTGCTTGATGGAAGATAGGCGCTTCTCTAACTAGGAAGATCTTTCAGGGGTGGCAAGCTTTTCAAAATAGTCTTTTGCATGATATAGGGGCACATGCGTGAACCACAGACCATGGTTAACTTTTCCTAAACGGCCTTCAGAGCACCAAAAAAGGGGGCGCCTGGTTCGATTCCTCGTGGTGACAAACTTTTGCATTTCTAGTTGACGCTTCTAAACTCGCGCAAAATGGAGTTACATTAACTATGACTGTCATATTCATAATTAGGACCGTCAGAAACCACGTAAACTCGAAATAAAAAAGTTTGTCACCACGAGGAATCGAGTGGGGATCCCTTTTGGTACTCACAATCAGAGGACCATTCAGGAGAAATTAACCATGGCTCTGTTGTTACCGCTTGTGCCCCATATCATGCAAAAGACCGTTTCGAAAAAGCTTGGCACCACCTTCCTGGTAAGGGTGCGGACCGACACGCAGTTTGCGGCAAACTTCGGATGTGCCCTTTCGGTCTAAAGAGGCATAGCGAGAGGTAGGCGTATCGCGCCGATAGGCCTTCCCACGGCCTCCTCTTTAGTCGTAGCAGTGAGAGTGTTGGCGATGAAGAGGGTAGCACCCATGAGAATCGCATCAGTGCGGAAATTAGCGGACGAGGAAGGGGTCCCATATCTCGGGATCTGAGCCGTTCCCTATGGTTTTTTTTCTCATTCCTGCACCACTGGCCACCTCTACCCTTATTTCTATTGAGCCTTTTCATCGTACAATCTTCAAGGGGAAATTACATTGTGTTGGTATGAGCATGTAATGCAGCAGCCTCATCGATAGGCCCCTTCTTTAGACAATAAAATACGGTAAAAAAGGGGGCGGATTGATCAGAAGGTTGCGATCCCCTTCCAAGTGATCAGCGTAATGTGCTCTAAAGAGTCATTAGTGTTTTCCTCTCTCCACTACATTGTCAACCAGTTGTTACATTCACTTTCAGGGCAATTTTTACACCCATTTTTATTTTAGTATTTTATATTTTTAGCAGTAGCCCTAGGTAGCGGGAAATATGCTTTCAGGCATCATTATGAAGGCCTTTTCGGCTCCACTAACACAGCAAGTGGTGCGAGTGAAGCTTTTCGGTGGAAGACAAGAGTCGGGATAAATCATATGTTCATGAAAGAGAAAGATGGATAGTGGAGAGGGTAGGGGAGTGTTACCGTGGACGATATATACGGGAGCGAGAGTTTCCGGCGGAAAGCACACTATCAGCTGCTTTGAATGTATCTCAAGATAATCTCTGGTTCTCAGACACGGCCACCGCCGGAATGTCGGAGGAATGATAATGGCAATATATTTGAAATGTAATCATTACCGTCATTATTCGATTTTCTAATTGTAAGTGCACTATAGCAGTAGCCATCAAAGCACCACTTCCCATACTATCGCCATTGGCATGGTGGTAGTGTTTAAAGGAATCCTCCACGGAAAAGGCTCTGCCTCATTACCACAGAAAACGATACCATAAAAGAATTTTCCACGAAAAGAGTGATCATTTTGTCTTGTGTGTAGGATTAGTATTATCGAAACTAAAGCTTATGTTCCGTTCATTTTGCTATGCTTTGCTAGGGGCCTAAGGGGTATCGTTTTTCTGTGGTAATGGAGGCGGAGCTTTTTCCGCGGAAGATTCCTTTAACTTCACCCGGTCTTTATGTGAGCGGTAAATTTGCTACAATCAACTATTGAAAAAAGGTGAACTTGTCGAAACGTTGGCTCAACAAAATTCTACCGTAATAATTCCATTAGAAAGCATAACTTTTGAAGCAATAATGAATTGTTGCAGCGGCGTCGCATCTGTATCTATAGCTCCTTCGCCTGGCCGTTCACATCCAATGAGCCATTCGCAGCCGTGCCTTATCGCCATATCGGATAAACCACCTGATTAGTAAGTTGTGCAGATGTTATTATATTCTGGTACCTTTGCAAGCTGATTGCGGGTCATGGTCTTGAACGGAACGCGTGCAAAATGTGTTTGATTGGTGGTCGTCGTCGTCCACCAATCACGAACATTTTGTGCGCAGGCTTTCCATTTCACTTTGGAATAGCGAGGCAGGTTCACATTTGCTCTTTCACTTGCACCTACTAGTATGCGAATGTATAAACTGAAACATGGTAGAATTTTTGTACTTCAGTTCGGCTAGCCATGTTCATCAATCTGTTAATCAGTTCCCAAATCGAGTTTCATCAGGATTCGGGTCCTGTGAGCAGCACGAGGGACAATCTAATGGAAATGGCATTCAGAGGGTGAGAACTACAATGGTTTTCCCATCATGCTTGACATTTCTCGTTATCAGTTGGGTAGATGTCAGCTAATCGCTGCACCGACTTCAGTGCGCCTGTGATTTATTTAGATTCCACAACGCCCTCTGTCAATATAATACTGTTCAGGTGCCGAATAACCAGAAATTGATACAGTCATTACGGGAAGAAAATCTTCACCTGAAACGTGAAATTGAGTCTAGTAAAAAGAAGCTCGTGAAGCTTCAACAGGTATCGCGTAGTGGTTGATTTTTTAGGTTTGTGTCAATTACAAACACACTCACTTATTCAGATGGAGGCTGCTTACGAGCGAATAGAAAAAGACTACGAGAATCTGTTGAGGGAGAAGGAACGGCAGGAAGGTGTAGAGAAATCAGCTTTAGTTCAAATGGAAATGCATCTAAAAAGGTTAGCCGCTATACTACTTTCATCGATCCAGTCTGAGCTGGTTTGCGTACAAATTGTATTTGGTAGAGCTAAAGTAAGCACCTTGTTTAGCGCTTTCTCAAGAGTTGTGCCGTCCGGCGTGCACATGTATCAACAGATACAAAATAGGATGAACTTGTAAATAACGACTTCTGAAATTTTTATTCCTGTTTTCTTGCGCAAGTGGTTTCATGTGTTCGGCTTCCGAATTCCGATGTTACGATGAGCATCCTTATGTGTTTTTCCATTCCATTACTTGAGAATTTGCATATTTTGTTAGGGTCAGTTCTACTACGGTAGCTTCGATAGTGCTGCTGGTGAAAAATCTTCACCACACCGTACATAAATTTCACGGTTCAAAGCTATTGAATGATAGGTGAATCAAGCCAAGAATTCTCAGTAAGAAGTTGTGTTCGACTTCCTGGGAGGGGGGGGGGCATGTGGGTGGAAGTGAGATTTTCTTTTCATCAGAAATAGAAGTTCGACTGAGCTGAGGTGTGAGGATCTTTAGAGTATTTTTTAGATGTTGCAAAGGAGTTTCTCAGTATGCGCAACGTTGAGATTTCTATGGGAAAAACGGATTTTCTTGTTTCGATCACACTTAATGGCCTCCACCTCTTCGCTCATCGGATTTTTTTTTGTAAAAAGGAAGAGGATGTGTAGAAGGTGGTGTGCTGTGGGGCTCAAACTAGGGGGATGTCGTATGTATTAGGCCTCGTATAGGTCGTTCAGCCAAATTTTTCTCGACACGTTACTCACCCGATGCGATACCAGCTTAGTAAACAACGACTTCCTACTTCCTTGACCTTTGCTTTTCCTTGTCCCATGACGTTATGATACTCTCATGTTTTTTTTTGCAACTTTTACAAAATTGATGATTCAACGGTCTAGCTATGATGAAACGATTATGATTTTATTAATCCAATGACGTTACAAATGCTGTATTATAATAATATCTTATATTAATAATGGCTGTTAAACTGTAGTGAGCAAGAATAGTGAGATTTATTTCGTCTTTGCAATGACCAACTCGAGCCATTCGTAAAAGTAAGGTGGTAGTCAAGGAACTCACGCATACAATTTCTCGGTGTGTGGTTGGGTTTCACTATCGAAGGTCTGTATTCTTAGAAGGGATTCATTCAGAGTGATCTCCGAAAAGGAAGCTTTGCAAGATCGGTTGGAACAGTTTTCGCTGCCAAATGCACAGGCAATGGAGAAAGTGAATCAGCTAAATATGGTTTTAGCTGAGATCATACCTCAGAGTGAGTTTCACTATCCTTTTTCTTTGTTCTATTGCAGTCATCTGATTGTTTGTTAATGGGACGGGTTTCATTGTTTTCATTGTGAACTTTCAGATAAGGAGTTGGTCACAGTGAAGGAACGTCAACGCCTGGAATTAGAAGCTCAGAACGCTACACTTGAAGAGCAAAGAACGCATATTTCAATGCTTGAGAAGGCTTTGAGTAATGCGCAGGAACGTTTAGCGAAACGTGAAAAGGTATGGCTAAAAAAGAATGGAGAGATCAGTCAGCTGTTCACAATTTCCGTACTTGCATGCATCAAATTAGCAGCTTTTGGAATGACCGGTCAAGTTGCCCACCTTTTCGGGCAACTTGAACTGAGGAATCGCGGTACGGGCAGAGGTTGGAGAAAGAGAAATTAATTTGGAGACAGGCTCACCCCTTTAAAGTGTGGACCGACACGTGACTTACTGGATATGCTCCCGGTGATTAGCATGGCCATCTCCGCAGCGCGATAAGGCCGGCTTGTCCACTGACTGGCTAAGCATCTGCCAGGACTGGCTCACCAGAAGAGCGTCAGCGAAAAGGGCAGCATCATGAGAGTCGCATCAATTCGGAATTCACCGGGCAGGAAGGGGTCCCATTTCTCGGGTTCTGGGCCTTCATGGTTTTTTCTTCATCTAGGCACCACTGACTTCTATTAGGTCATCTCATTCAAACATGTCCACGGTTTTATCCAAATAGAATGAACAGCAGGAAAGATGAAAAGCTAATACTTTGGTGTTAAGTCACGCAGATCTTGCCGTTGTTGAAAACCCGATCCCAGCGTCTAGAAAACACTTGACAACGCGCAGCTTCTTTATTTCAACAAGTATAGACAAGATGCTCTTGATGTCAGTATAGATGATCAACGAGTTGTCGTAGCGCTTGCTAACGAGTAGTGACTTCACTTCGCTAAAACAGCTGAGGTTGCACGGCTGCAATTGGGAAAATACGGCTGATAAGAAGAGGTCACAATATCCGTTTGGTCGAAGTACCCGTGAGCAATATGAGCTATGTGGGGTCTGGCATCGGCATAGGAGATGATATGGTTATCACAGTTTTGTACTGCTATTCCTTTGTCAATTTGATCGCTACGAAACAAGCCATACACTTGAGCACCGATGAAGGGTTTTTCCCGACAGAGCCGCTTAAGAGGCACATCTCAGATATCCATCACCATTATCATCATCCACGTGAACCCACGTGACTTTTCGTGATCCAATTCGGGTTGTTCCTCATTAGCGTTCATCCAAAATTGACGCTGCTGACTTAGGCCAC